TGTAGGGAGGCATGGAGAGATTCCAGAAAGCCTTAATGACTGTGATGTTGCATGCCTAAACTTGCCATCCTTGGAAGCATTTGTCGTTAAAATAAACCTTTGAAATTGTTAGAACTGCTTGAAGAAAGTATATACCAAAAGCATGCAGTAACATTCAGTAATCACAAAATTGCATTGTGCATTGATTCAATAGTTGATTCCAGTTGGAATAGTCCCTGTCATTAAGATAATTGATTGGATTTGCTTTTGAGAAAATGAGGGAGTTGGTTGGAAGTCTGATACCAGTAACAATATTCACGATGAGGTCTGATTTCATGACTCTCCATGTGACTTAATAGCATGTCATATACATGGATTGTCAAATGTAAGTCCCATTGTTTCAAGAGGAATTACTCCCAGGTTAAGGACTCCACCAAGGATCATAGCCATTATACTTGGAGGGCGACAGCTGGGAAAAAGCTGTACTGAAGCTAAGCTCCAAAACACAGCTGTTCCTGTATCTTCCAAGCATTTTTATCTAATAAAACCAAACTTTTAAAAAACAGGCTGAGATGTGACTTTGTGGCATGGTGGACCATATACAAAACAGCCTTTAACATTATTTTAGAGAATAAAGCCTACAAATCTGGCTGCTTTTCCCATGACCCAGTTTGGTAAACTGAATTTATAAACCAATTCAAGACACGCCTTAAGCTCTGGTGCATGGGTGGCTATATGACTTGGCCGAACAAAACATCTGATACTTCTAATTTTATCACAGAATTTCAACCAGCTTCTTATAAAGGAGGTTTCACTTGATTGTGTACTGGGTGGCACAGCAGGTGGGGAGGTGGGGGGGATGTCAAACCCCAATCCCCTATGCTGCCTGGGATTGAGGGAAATGGTTTCCAGCATCTGGCACACTATAGCCTCTGTCTTCCTGTACAAAGACAGAAAAAATGTTGCTTTTTCTCCCCCCCCCCAGGCGCAAGCTTATTGAGAAGAATGAAGAAATATTCAATGAACGTGCCCAAAAAAGCAGCATTTTTGGGATGTTTGATTAGGACCGTAAATGAAGCTTATGGGAGACTGGTGTGAAGCTGCTTCTTCAGAACATCAAACCAAATCTGGAACCTCAGAAGTGTCAAGATTACATACATACATTTACCATTACGTTCTTCACTTTATTTCTATTAGCTACTGCCCAGTAGTTTTGTGCCATGTTTTTTCCATCATTAGTTTATATCTGGAATAAATATGTCCCTGGCCAGATGGTGGACATGTCAAAACATACATTATTTAAAAAAAGTCATAACTCGGTCCTGTAGATTTAAACCTACAGCTAAATGACCAGGCATAAACCGAAACAAAGTGTCCAAAATACTATTTGCTATTATCTTAAATATCAGGGACCCATGCTTCTGCACTGAATTTTTATGAAATGGCTCCAGTATTTCCTCATAGACCTACCTGGGGTTGTAGAACCCCGTCTAGGACTGTTCTTATTATGTTTGGCAACTATTGCACAACATATTTAAAACACTGAAAAAATCGTAAATAAAAAAGAGCTCAATTGTAGAGATGTGTAGCCCTTCAAAAGGTACCACTGGGGCTTCCTTAGCCCATGTTTTCCTGGGACTGGATGACTACTGGGCATGTCCAGGAAAAGACAGCTTCTTATGCCCCCATAAGGTGTGCATATGCCCCCAAACCTGCTCCAAACTGCCCATTTGGCTCTGAATCCAAAATTCTGGACATCCCTAGCTTATTCTTGGAATGTGAATCTATATATGAGATTCTGCCTATTATCTAGAAGGCAAATATAAGAACTTGTTTTCAGAACATATAGAAAATCAAGACTTTTCTATTATTTCTCTTCTGATACAATTTTCATTTTTTAACAGCCTGAGCTTGGGTCTTCCTTTGCCAGTCTTTGCAATCCCCCTGTATGCATTATTTCTTTGCTGAAGTCTTATCTCACTGCTCTAAAAACACCGCTTTGTGATTTCTCATTTTGCTTTACTTCCTCTTGTCCTCACTGTAATCCAACTGTTCAGATATACAGTTTACAGTTGTAAATTTACAATGTACAATCCATACATACTGTGGACTAGAGGAAACATTTTCCCATTGAATAGGGGGAACAGAACTACTAGCTATTGCCTTTTACAGGGATTTTGTTCTGAATTTCATTAACTTCCTGCAAGAGAGTTGGAACTTAGGCAGGATCTACAATGGAGGCCCCTTAACTTAAGGCAGCTTCGTGGCAATAGGTCTGCAAACTGCGTCTACTCCTCAGTAAGCACTAAACAAATACAGCCCGGCATCCACTGTGTATAATAGCTCCTGGGCTTGGAGATGTACCCCTGAGCATTAATGGTTTCTGCTCCTTCCCCATCAAGCAAGCCTAGTTAGATCATGCCAGGTCTAACTTCAGCTCTCTTAAAGCAGGCTCACTCAAGAAATGTGCTGACCATCCAAATCCACTGTGACATATGCAATGAGTGGCAGATGGGGAGAGTGTCTGCCTGTTCATATTCTTAAATATCAATCCAAATAGCTTTCGGAAGCAACAGGTATTCCTGTTCAAAGCACAACAAAGAATGAATGAAAGCAAGAGAGAAGGGTATGTTCTTTTTTAACTCGCTACCCTTATCTCTCTACGTCCCTAGCAATCTAAATTATTGCATTTCTGAACTCTACTCTGATGGTACAAAAGGATCTCTAGGCACAGGGAAGATCAATTTTTTCCTGAGAGTATAAGCTGGTTGAGGCATCTGCTTCCTTTGGCCTTGAGTATCTGCACGTTTGCTCACTTCTTCGTTGACTTCTGTAAGAATGGATAATATATCTTCACCTCTGAAGAGAAGAAAACAAACATCAATTAAATGTCAATTCTTACTTTGCACTTACTTACATTCATATTATCACTGGATTATAAACTAACATAATTACAAATCAGAAAGCACAAGACAGACCGTATATTTAGGCCTTGAGACAAATTCTTTAGTGTGTGAGAAATTCCGTAGGCCCCAGCTTCTCTGCAGCCAGGAATTTATACTCTTCATCTCCCCTCTACCTATCCAGCACTAAGACTACTGGGGCCAGAAGGTTGTAGTGGCTAAGATGTTGGAGGAGGACCCAGGCCGAGGGCTACAGGAGCTCCTTGGGTGACTCTGGGCCAGTCACGTTCTCCCAGCTCACCCTACCTCACAGGATTAGGGTTGTGGGGATAAAATGGAGATCCCCACGTAAGCCACCTTGAGCTCCTGAGGAAAAGGCAAGTCATAATCAAGTAATAAATAAAATTGCCAATAATCTATTCAGGAGCCACACAGCTTGAAGAGTATTGCTTCATCTCCCCCTCCCACTGTAGAATTAAGCACACACTTTTCTTGCAGATGTATTTGCCTTTAGAACTAACAGACGCATGCAGGAAGCCTATTTTTCATTGTTAGTTTTTACATCTTGCTTTAATTTATATTACATGTTTTAACTATCCAAGGAACTGAAGTTATGGTACATGTAAAGTAATATACAGGGTGTTCCAAAAATCAGGACCCATTGGCAATTTATTACAAAATTACATTAAACATTCCAATTGGTTGCCATTTTCTTTTAAATACTTTAGTCATTTGACACATGACTTCTGAATATTCCTAAGTACAGTAACATTTTCATAAACAAACAAACAAACAAACAACATATTGTGATTGGCCTATGGGGCCTGATTTTTGGCATAAAGTTCTACCATGGTTACCAGACATTTCAAAAAACATTCAACTGAACAAAAAACATGAACAGGCAATTTTCTTCCACAACGCTAACTAAAAGTCTGCAGTATTCAGATTCAAAGCAGGAAAAGTGCTTTAGATCAGCATGGATGTACTCGCTATATCTGAAAGAGCCATATCGTTTCCTGGTCTCATAAGCAGCCGTTAGGGTTTCAAGAAATATGACTCTGACCTCAGGAGGAATTAAGGAGATGAAGACAGTGTGCAATATGTTGCTGCTTTGTTGTACTCCTTCATTCAAAAATATTATTTTCCTGGGACCACCCAGCTATGGTGTGAGGCCAGAGAAAGACATGGCTTCTTTAAGTTGCTGCTGACAGGTACAATGAACACATCCCTGTTGATCCAAAGCAGTTTTACTTATCCTCCCACCACATAACTAGGTAAACTTCCTTTTTATGTAACAGAGATAATATGAACAGGGTTAATAGCCAGAGCCAGTATTTGTTAACCTGACTTTCTCCTTATTTAACAAACCTGCTAAAACCTTGGTAGAAACTCGTCATGTCTTGGAGGGTTCAGCTTGGTCAGCGTATGATGCAAAATGAAATCGCATCACCAAGACCTCTTGGACTCCTGATTTTGTATGGAAAAAGTTGATAGTTTGCTTTGGCTGCTTAGACAACCTCTTTCATCCCTACCTTAGATGAAAAATCTTGCATGTGTCTTGTCTACAAATGCCACATTGAGGTTCTTCTGATGTTGCCTCCTTCTAGGACAGTCTTATGGCTCCTTAGCTACGCTCGGCTAGCACCCACCACTGTTGCTTGCGCTTCCTTCCTCCCTCCCTCTCCCCCTTTTTTGAAAAGTCCATTAAAATTGGCTAATTGGCTTACTAACAACTTACGAATCTATACTTCATAGTTCATTCAGAATAGTCATGTTAAAGAGGAGAAGTCTTCCATGTGACATGAATCCTACCTTGGCACCAGGAGCCGCAGCTTACTGCAAAGAGCCTGAATGTACCAAGTCCCTTGATGTACATGCCGGAAAGAGAGATAACCATCTACAGTGGCCATGCCAAGCAGGAAATCTGCTTCAGCTGGAATACTTGAGGACAACTGCTGGAAAGAGACAAATCCTGAACTCTGTGCATCTAGTTCAAGTGAGTCAGCATTGTTGGAGTCTGTTTGGAGGTAGACGGGCTGTTGCGTCTTTTCACCCTGACATGCCTGGATGAAGAAGAGCTTAGGTTTCCGAGCCAGCAATGGGCATCGGTCAGCCGTGAAATAGGACATGATGGTACGGATTGGAATCAGACATGCGTCTGTCCCATAAATCTTCCCAGATTCTCCATGAGACAGAATGCAGCATACCAGACAGTCACTGTCTTTCCAATTCTCAGAAGACTGCCAGTCCTGCAAAAGTGTTTCAATTTCTATGGAAGTCTTGTCGTCATACTTTTCCACTTTGAACCCAAGCCAGGTGAACACACATTTCAGCTCCACTGTTCACAGAAACAAGGCAAAGTGTTTAATACAAAACAATGGCAGTAAACACACAGTGGATATGCCATTTACATAGATTTAAATTACAAGAAAAGATACAGTCAGGTCCAGAAATATTGGGACATCGACACAATTCTAACATCTTTGGCT